AATCATTGTATTTGCGATAACAAATTACCATTACCATTACCAGTACCAAAATGGTATAACTTTTTTTGTAGTATCTTGAAGTATCTGATATTTCGCTATATTATAGCCCATAATAGCACTTAATATTTGGTCAAAGAATGGTGATTGTAGGTGCTATCATTCTCGAAATATTGATGTTCAAAATTTTGAGGGCCAATGTCCAAAATCCAGAGAACTGTTGATAAATTGAAAAAAGTGATCAACCCACGATGTGTGCCTATGATTTTTGTCTACTGATAATAAGTTTTAGCTCTCTATCACATACGGTCACAGAATAAAGAAGATTTAAAAAACGCTGAAAATCTAAAGGCTGGAAATCGAATAATCGACGTTTTAGAGAAAAAGAAAACGATATTTCTCGGAATAAGTACATTTCCTGATAGATCATCAAAATTAACACCAGGAAAATGAGTTTCATTATATTATCTTCATCCATAATTGAACAAAACGCGATCGAAGTCTGAACTTTGAACGCGATTTTCTCGAGAACTATTAGCCAGAGAAACTTTCTAAAAGCACTAATAGACTCAGCTTTTGGTCTCTACAAGCCATCAGAGTCTAAATTCAAAAGAAATTCATTTATAGCCTCTTTTTGTCCCTTTGTGTCAATTTGTTCATGAATGTGACAACTAATATCTTTATTGTGTCTTTTTAGCAACAACCTGATACTTTATGGCTGTATAATGTTGTAAAATGAACTTACTGTCACAAAACAAAGGCCAATGTTTCCCATAGTTTTCGCAAAACTTAACTCGTGATTCATTGTCAATTACTGTTGTATCTGGTTTGATCATTTGCCCTTCAACTATATAAAAACATACAGAAACTTCACAAGATTAATTAACTGTTGAAAGAAAGAGCTTCTGATCTGTTCATCATCGGTACAAAAATATCTTATCCAACTTATTTATTAGTCATTCGAGCAGCTTATTAACATAATTTTTTACAGTTTCTCGATGTTATTCAATGTACAATATGTTTAGCATAAAATTAAAAGTATAACTGACAGTGAAATATTGATTAAAGCTTTAAAACTTCAAAATTTCTTATTAAAATTCTGGTTCTAAAATTGTATTCATTATTAATACTTCAAAGTTCGATTTTTATCCTTATGCTATTATTATATTTCCAAAAACAAAAGGTCATTAGATGTAATTTTCAACAAAACTGCTTAATGTTTCGTTACAAATCCTTAAATAATAAATGAATCTATTCTCAAACATTGAAGGACTGTTATTGAAAGGAAACCAAAACTTACATGAAAATGGTAAACATGTGTTCAAAGAAAGCGATTTACCCCAACCAGTTGTTCCTGGGAAAGCTATTTCTTCATAAGGCGAATAACCAGTAAGTCCTTTAAAGGTAATAAAATACCAGCTTGTCCTAAACTGAAGATTTTGAGCCTGAGAACTTCCAAGTTCATGAAGCAATAAACGAGCAACAGTACTCAATTTAGTTGATGGTTCGTCAAATGTTAAAAGGATGATGATTTCACCTCGCCGCAAGGTTAATAGCATGGTTTCCAAATTAGATGAATCTAAATTAGAGAAAAGTATGAGTCTAAATGATGTAAATCCAATTTATCAGACCTTACCTGTGCCATAAGTATCATAGTTGACTACTCGAGTAACTGTTCTAGTTACATTGTCGATTATGGCCACGTTTATTCCTCGACCACAGTTATTAGTGCCTTTACTCATAACTCTACAAGAAGATTGAAAAAAGCCTCAATTAATCGTGACAGTCAGAATTTGAGTTAAAGAATGCATTTCTAACATGAAATATTAAAAATTGTATAATGATATTAGGAAGCAAAATACAGGAGAGTTGCCAAGCTGTCATATAACTGAATGGGAAGAGATGATCTAACATACATTTTACCATCGATGCAGAGTTCAGGATATTTTTGATTATCTTGTCCAGTATTTAGAGACAGTGGAAAGGAGTTGGGTGGACAGAGGTAAGGTAAATCACAGTTAGTCACTTGTTTATCTATTATTACTCCTTCATGGAACTTTAATGATGGTTTAAAATGCATAGATCGAGAATCAAGATTGGAATTTTTTTGATCTGTTGATGAGAAAAGAAAATGGAAATTAGAATGTAAACTGGTTTCATTGAAATTAAGATGCATGTTTATAAGACAAACCTGAATTAATGCTAGAGACTAGAGAGAAGCTGTCAGTTCGCGGTAAAGTCTCAATGAAGATAGGAATGAAATGTTGAATGTAATGATTGTCAGAGAAGAGAGAGAAAAATATCCAGATCACAATTGAAATCAGGGCTATTTTGGTTGATCGAAGAAATGGCCATTTCCGATTAGAAGCTATCGGTGGCTCTGATGAAGTCATTTTTCACAGACTACACATTTAAACAGCTTTTCAATCGTGCTACTTTCAATGAACATATTTTCAGCAAACATCGAAAATATTTTTCTCATATCGAAATATAGATGTCACCATGTATTCACGATTACATTTTATTATAATCGACTTTAATTTGACTGATTATTAGCTTTATTTTTAACATTAAATTGTTACAAGTATTATTAGGTGAAACAAACGATATCATGAATTTGCTCAAAAAAACTCGCATTATTTTTATTGAATAGTGTTGAACTGTTAGCTGGACTTCCACAGTGGGAATGAAAAATAAGCAAATTATAGTGAATCTAAATCAATCAATTTTGATCATTGCAAACGAAATTGAAAATTGAAGGATTATAAGTTTGAATTCAGTAAACAAATGTAAACCTTCAACATAGATCGGACTAATAAAGGATCTCTTCGAGATCTTAAACAACTTGTTGTCAACAATCAAGCTATAATATCGTGATAATCTATTCTAAATAGTTATTATTGTAAATGGTTTTTATCGAAACTTCATAGTCTTTAAAAATAACTGCCATTCTAATTTTTTTATTATCATGAGATTGATATCTATGTAAAACATTATTGTTTTAAAGATCGCGATTTATTCCATTCAACATGAATAGAAAAGTAAAGTTTGAATTAATTTCGATTGTTGAACTTGGAAATATATTTCAATAGAAAAGGACCGAAAAAGCGAATTGAGATTAAGCTTCTGGGAGTTGGAATTAAAAATGATAACTTTAAAGCCGAGAATAAATTTATTCAAAATTTATTTTAAGATAACTTGGATAAACATTTAGTCAACTAGATTAAGCAATTATTGATTCTTTCAAGTTTTAATTTTATAATTAAAAGTTGATTCGATTAATTGACTGTCAAAGGAAGGAAAAATACTGAATCCAAGTTTTGGGTTTTTAAACCACAAGTACCAGTATTACCAGGAGATTAAACCAAGACTTATTGTTATCTATGTGTTACAATAATTGTTTGTTAACCAGATGCAAGATGGAGCCAACCTCTAGTTTATTTTTCAGGTTATCTTGTTGTCTTTATTAGATTACTGGTTGAATTATTTATTGAATATGACACCTCATTATCAGGAACTGATACCTTAATCAAAATGCTCATGATCTATCCAGATTAGATAGAACAATGATACAAAAACTCTGCAAACCTAAAACAGAACGATGTCTTTTTATGTTAACCGCTAAGGACTGGGAATATTTTAAGGTTTATCAAGACAAAATTAGAAACACCAATTATAGCTTTAATTTATTATCCGTAATAGAAGCCTCTTTAATTGATTTGGTTAATCAATAAACTCTATTTGAACAAATCTTTCAAATGAAATAAATTGCTTTAGTAATGTAGGTGAGTAAAATTTTGAATTCTGCGCCACAAGAAAGAAACTTTCTCAAGATGGCGTTCCACATAAACCCAGCCCATAAAAAATACAGTGGTTTGGTCACTCCAGCTCCAGTAAATACAGTTCTCATTTGTTCTCATAATGTTTTGCTAATCGGTAATTAATTATATAATTAATAAACGTTAATCTGTTCATTAACATCCAATAAAGTCCATTCGGATTATCAAATAGAGTTAAAAGTTATTGTGAAATTGAAGGCAAAAGTGAAAATTTACACTGGCTAGCGGTGAAGAGAAGATCCTGGTGGGTCCTTGCCACCAGGCCCGCCTTCCTGATTATGTTGGTAATATTTTACCTGCAGATATGCCTGAATCTTGTGAGGCATTAGAGGAATTAAGATGGACCCCGGGATTACCTGATTGTGATTTAATCATGTATCTGCGTGCAGCTCGAAGTATGGCTGCTTTCGCAGGTATGTGTGATGGTGGTTCAGCTGACGATGGCTGTTCTGCTGCATCGCGAGACGACATCACTATAAATGCACTAGAATTGGTAAGTTGATTTGTTTGTTTTTTTTCTTCATTTAATTGGCTTAGTTTAACTCACTTATGAACTTTTACATGTGCCTTTTACATGTTGCCTTGGCTAGACTTTTTAGTAATTACATGGAAAAGTTTAATTTAATTTGTAATTAAATTGTAATCTATAATTTTTTACTATCAGCTGTCTATTTATTATCTTTTGTTAAGCCATTTGAATTACCTTATCTTGTTCCTTATTGAATCCATTAATCTCTTTGTAATCATACCATTTATCCGGTTAAATCAATATAACAAATTGATTAAGCTTTTATAATTCTTCCTTCACTGAATTACCGTGTCTCTCTTTTCATTATGACTCTCCCCTTCCCTTTATTTATAATTGTTTACTTTTCTTTCTATTCCATAGTTGCATGATAACAATTATGATACTGGTAAAGCTCTACAAGCTTTAGTTAAGAATCCAATACCCAAAAGTACAGATAAAAAGTGGTCTGAAGAAGAGCAAAAGAAATTTGTCAAGGGTATTCGTCAATACGGAAAAAACTTTTTCAAGATCAGGAAAGAGTTATTACCTCAAAAAGAAACATCCGATTTGGTTGAATATTATTATTTATGGAAGAAAACACCTAGAGCAGCATCAACTGTAAGTCTTATCAGTATGAATTGTCGTTCTTTATTTATTCACTTTATGCTTTTCATTATTCCACCGAACAGGATTTTAATTCTGCAAACAGACCTCACCGAAGACACCGAAGACAAAACGTTTTGAAGAGAATCAGAGCAGCCAATGCCGCAAGTCCTAGTAATAATAAAGGTTCTAGCAACTTGGATAATTGTGAAGATCAAAGTGAGAATATAAGTGATCCACAATCACCGGTTTCTCCCTCTCAATTAGTTTCAAGTCCAACTAACGATCAACCAATTATAAGTGAACCCTTGGAAAAGAATGAAGATAAAGTTGAAGAGTCTTCAACCGTGACAATTAATAACAACTCAACTGTGTTGACACAAAAGGAGGAATCAAATGCATCCGAAGAAGAAAAATTAGTTACAATAAAACCTTCAAGCCCTATCAGTGATCAAGCTAGTGTCAATGATTTAACCGAAAAGAGTACAGAAAAAATCGAAGAAGATATTGACGAAAATGTCAATGAAACATTAACTGTACTTCCTAAGGAAGAAGAATCAAGTCCTCCAGATGAAGATAAAACGGAGGTCATTCAGCCAAATTCTCAACCGCCAAGCTCACCTCAGTCACAAAATGAAATTTCAGGCAAACTTAATGGACAAACAAGTACTCAACCAACATCCAAAGATTTATGGGAGATTGAAAATCACGATGATAATGAGATCAAAATTAAGAAATCAGATCCATCTCCTACTCCATTCTCGTCTAATCCTGTAAGTAGTGATTTACTTGTTTTTTATCTAGCTCACATGGATTATCTACATCTATTAAATTTTATCAGTACAAAAGGATCATATTGAATTACAGTTTTTATCGATCCGATGAACTCAGATTCAGTGTTAATTATTTAGGATTTGACTAATGTCTACCGATTAATCAAGTAAAGTGACTGTCAAATCAATCGAAAATAATTTCTATTACTTTATTTTTATCTCTATCATTCTAGCTAATTAGATTACTTCATCACATTCAACTATCAATGTTATTTTATTTATTATTAAAGCTTTGCCTCGTTTTTCATTTCTGTTCAGATACCGATTTCAAGTTTGCTATTTACAATAATAATTTTCATATTTCTTCTCAATCAATCTATCAAATTAGATTCGAGAAACAGCTCGAATTACTTGGAAGGAAATTATTATGATTTTAAAAATAGGATAACCATATTTTCATTTAATTTTAGATAAAAATTGCTTTATTGGATTATTTGGTTGATTTCATTATCAATTAATTGGGTGCTTTTTACAATCTAATATCTGATCTATTTCCTTTGTTTATTGTGTTTTTTCTCAACAGAGTTGTACTCCTTTGTTAATACCCAAACGAGAACCACCGCCATCTCCTCCTCAAAATGATTATGCTAATGAAAGACCCACTGTAAGTGATTTATGCATAAAATGCTCATAAAACAAGCTCATTTGCCTAATTTTAATGTACACTTCTATTTGATTCAGATCTTTCAGTGTTGAAAAGATTCAAATTTAAAAATTCTGTTGCAACATTTTTCGTTCAATACTTTTTATCGAACTGTAAACACTTGAAATTTTTATTATCTAGTTAGTTGTTTAATTATCTTAAATAATAGTTTCATTTAGCATTATAAAATGTTTAAAAAAAGGAAATGCACAATAGAAGAGAGTAATTTGATAAATGAGCTTGTTTTGTTAATTTATTCATTAAACATGAATAATTGATTTATTCATTTGATCAGATAATACTTGATTTATATAGTTTTATTCAATGTTCACATTGAAACTTTTAATTTTTTAGTGTTCAGTTAATGATGAAGTAATTTTTCATTATTTTCAGGTTCCTCCTCCTTCCTCTCCTCCCGTTCCCTCTGAGGTGAACACGTCGGAACCTATCAACATGACCACTCATCATCCACCACCATCTCCTGTTCGTATCAAAGAAGAAGTTGTTTATAACGGTAGCGAGGCCCCAGCTCGTTCTTCACCTCTGATTCGGCGAGTCTCTCCTGCACCTCCATCTCAACCAGCTGAAATGCCAACCTTCCCGCAATTCATGTTGCCACCTAGGCCTGAATCTCAGTCACAACATCCTCTATTACTACCTCCACCACCTCCTCCACCTTTAACTCAACAATCACCTTTGATAAATCTTAACAACAATATGAATAACTTGAATAATAATAATAGTAATAACTTATTGCCTCCTTCATTGGGATCTCAGCCCACCAATATTGAGACTCATGTACATAGAAAGACTCCATTAGAATCAAATGAAGCACCTCGTATCAAACCTCCAAAAGAGAGACACTCGTCTTCGCCATCTTCAAGATCATTGCCTCCTTCCAGATCAAACAATACAAATTTAATCAATAACTCTAATATAATTACCAGTAATAGCGGTCACATGAATAATACAAGTGTCACCATCAGTAGTATACCGTCAAACAGTATACCTACCAATGGTGGTCTTCTTGGTAATATTGGTCGACCATCAAATGATTCAACTCCATCCTCAACATCAGCCCAGCTCACGCATCCATCATTCAGCTTAGCTACTAGTTTACCTGTTGAACAACGTTTACACGCTGTTCCAACATCGTATGCTTCAGCATCTCATTCTAGTTCATCACCACTGAATGTCCCTCAAATGACTTCTCATGGATTTCCTTATCCTCATCACATGTTACCACCTGGATTACCTCCTTACTTTAATCCTCATGGAGGTGTACCTCCACCCTCTCCTCATTGGTATGCAGTCACTAGAGGTATGCAACCCGGGGCGATGGGTTTTCCACCTCATGGTGTACCAACTCCTTCACCGCATTCACATTCGCACCATCAGCCTCACTCTTCAATGCTCTCATCATCTAAACCCAAATCACCAGTCATTTCACATGCCAATCGAATAACAAATAGTAGTCCAGCATCGCAATCGCCATTATTTCATGGTTTACAACAACAATCCAGTTTATCATCTTCTTTGTTCTCCCAAGGACCAATGTCTATTAAGCATGAAAGAGACGTTTATCGTGGCTCATTAGATGCTAAAATGGATAGAAATGATCTTCAAGTGATTGAAGAGGAGGAAGACCAGCATCCTCCGCACATTTCTCGGGGCCCAAGTCCAGAGTTGAAAATTGATGACAGTGAATGTCATCGTAGTCAATCTGCAATGTAAGTCCTCTCTTTATCAACTTGTTATTCAACTTAAAAATGAAAACAAAATAGACGCAAATTTGTTTATTACTTGCTTTTCCAAGTATTTGTTTCAACATTGATTTTCATCCAGGAAAACTGGACAGAAAAGAAATATCTTGTTCCTCTTCCTTGTCACTTTTAATGGTTAATCTATTTGGTCTCAAGTTGATTATATCAAATAAGCTCGACAGATCGAGGTCTATCTATTTTTACAAGTGTATCATGTTGCTTAGTAATTTGATCTTGAACGGTAACCACAATAAGATAGCAACTCGATGGTTTCTGAAAAAAAATAAAGAGAAAAGGCAGCAGAAGAAGAGAAAGAGAAAGAAGAGAAAGAAGAAGAAGGAAAGTGCGTGTAAAGACACAAATTTAAAGGGGCAAACAAAAGCTTTGAGATTGAGCTTAACTTGTTTTCACTTCTATTCATCATTTGACTTCCCCTCTAGTCCTGCCGATAATAAAGGTGGTAAGGGAAAGAAAATTGAAAGAGAAGAGAAATGAAGAGAGAGAGAGAAGAAGAAAGATTGAAACTATTTATAGCTAGTTAAACTGGGTTTACTATCATCTAACATCCATCATTTTCTTGTCTACTCCATCAACTCAGCTAATTTGTTGAAGCATTTTAATGTTTACAAGCTGCGGTTACAGAATATTTGAATTGGCATATAACCTTTTCACCGAAATACTTGCGTTTCTCATATCAAAAGAAAGAGAAGAAAAAGATGATTAAGAAAGATTAAGTCCATTTTTCTCGCTTGAATACCTTTTTAAAGTGTGATTTTATTCATATTGAAGGTCAATGTTAATTATTCACTGATAGTTTCATGACCTTCTAATTGTCATCATCACAATAAGTTCATGTTTCGTTTGGTTCAGTAGTCCATATTTTGAAGATACTTCATGTCTTGAAATAATTAATACTTTCCTCTTACTCTTTTCTTGCTTACTTTTCAAATGAGGTGAAAAACAAAACTCAAGAATAAGAGGAAATTACTTGTAGATAAATCACCTAATTTATCATCAAGTTTCTGTATACATTTGTATTTTTATTTACGCATTTTAATGTGACTTTTTTAATCCAAAAAATGGCAACTTAATTTATTTTATTGGTTTCTGTTGTTCACATAATATCCCATAAAAATGCTAATTTACTTGTGCTCTTGTTGTAAGTTATTAAATGTTTCACTCTCATGGGTTTTAAAAGATTATTTGAGTATTTTGAACGCCCTTTGAAAATTGTATCAGAAAAAGAATTGTTGATTCTCTTGAATTTCATGAATCAGTTGTTTCTATTTAATTAGTTGTTTTACGAGTTAATCTTTGATTTTGTGCATCCAGTCAACTTTCACTACAGTAGTTGTTAATTGGTAAATGTTATCAAAAATGATTATCAATATGATTGTTGATATGAATACAGGTTAATATTTAACAATCGGTTACGCCAATCAGTATTTCAACTTGTTTAACAATATTGTGTGCGTTGAGATATTGTGAGTCTGAACTTGAGGTTAACTAATGATATTGAGCATTGACAATTACTTGAACCACTCCTTCATAAGAAGCATTTCCTTAGGTGTTGGACCGTGTTAACAGAATATTAACCCCAACTTTCATAGTCAACCTGGACCAATCACCTTTTAGCCAATTGATTTTATATTCTGATATTGCGCATAACGATACTATCATGTTCTTCTTTATCCTGGTTCTTCTCGTGAAAGAAATCTATCGATTTACATTACAAGGTTTACAAGATGATAACTCTCACGAATCTTACCGGAAAACCGCAATCTCTTTTTTATCATCTTTCTTTTTTTAAACCAATATTCTGTTGATGTCTACTCTTTGTTACTCTTTTTTTACACCATTTATCCTTTTGTTTTTAGCCTGTTGATGTAACAAACAAAATAACATTTATCTTCATCATTTGAAAACAATCTCTTTAACATACAATCCAATTTTAACCATCAAATCACACCTTTCACTGAATCTTTATTATAGTCTTAAACAGGCTTTTTATTTGACTTTCTTCCTCTTCTTCTTTCTCCCTTCTTCTTCCCCTTTCTTCATCTTCATTGCTCTCTCCTTTTTCCCTCTTTTCTTCCCTTTTTCCCCTCTCAAACAAGCTTCTTCACCTCTCCACTAGTAATCACTTGTAGACACTTCACTTCAAACAAAACACTCCATGAGCCGTAAAATGATCATAGATGTCATTACTTAGTAAGAAAAAAAAATCGATCAAAGTTTGGATAAAATTGATAGCTTTACTAAGATTTCTTTTTTACACACAAATTTCCATTGTAACTTTGGGTTCGAACACAGCATATCCTGAAGACCAAATGAATACCTCAATCAGGGCCGGAAATGATTTCCGAGCTTCTCTCTTGTCTGTTTATCATAATCATTATTATATAATCTCCTTGTTAAAGCTTTTTTTTTCTTGCTTCATTTTTACTTCCCTTTTCACTTATTCTGTTTGTCATCTGGTAATTGATTAATAGTTTACAAACTTTACCAAATGGATTGTTCATGGGCAAGTCAATTTGCTGCTAATATCATCAATCCAACATCAAGATAACTGATGTTGATAGATTATTTTAGAACATGTACCTTTTTCTCATTCTTTTCTTCACTTCCCCACAAACAACTATAAACATTTATTATAACCTTTTTTATACACAAAGTTATCAGCGCAAGTTCCATCTTTAACACTCTCTTCTCTGTTGAATTTACTTGAGTTTCAAATAAGGCTTATATAGAAAGATAAAGAGTAAATTTGGAAATATTTGTTTGGGAATATGAAGTTAAGAAGAAAAAATCGGCAATGCGAAAATAAAATTAAAAGAAAGGAAAGTAAGAATCTTGATAACCTCAGTTAACCCCAAACTGTATATTTCATTACCTTGGCTTTTGAACACTCGTCTTTTGATTCATGGAAAGGCTGTTCTAAGATAATCTTGATTGATGGTTGATCTGTTAGACTCTAAATGCTACTAAAGACTATCTTATTCAACTCGCTTTCCCGTTTCACATCTCATCGGTTATAATGTATTTAACCACCCAAATTGGCTTTTCTCTATCTCAAAAATCGTGTAAATAAAAAAATTGAAAAGGTTTATGTTATAATGTTTCATTGTTATTATTACTAGTTGTACACATCAAAATTAATCAATATTTTTTATACCTTTCAAGTAATTTGTAGCTTTTGACTAATGGAAAATGAATTTGAAACTTTTTTGACAAATTTACTATTGACATTTAAACGCAATCAAATCAAGTTATTTATCATCTTTTTTTCTTCATTTTTTTTAGATTTCTCCGTCATTGGAATCGTGGTGACAATTCATGTGCAAGAACTGATTTAACATTTAAACCTGTTCCTGATTCTCAGTTAGCAAGGAAACGAGAAGAAAGAGCTCGAAAAGCTGTTGAAAAGGAAAGAGAAGAACAAAAGAAGTTGGCCGCAGAAAAAGGACTCCTTGGCCACGGACCCAATGACTCGAACCACCATCTAAGTCCATTTGATCGACATACTCCTAGATCTAATTTTGCTGATACACCTGCTTTAAGGCACCTCAGTGAATATGCACGGCCTCATGCAGCCTTTTCGCCAAGTTATCCTCGTACATCCGTTGCTGGTCCTATGGTTGGCAGTGGACCTTCTCTATCATTTGGTGTTCCAATTTCCGAAGCTCCTCATGGAATGGATCCAATGATTCATTATCAGATTGCAGGACTTTATGGACCTGCTTTTGCTAGACGAATTGAACATGAAGAACGAGAGAAACGTGAACGATTCGAATTAGAAAAACGAGAACAACTTAAAGAACAAGAGATGAAAAATAGAATGGCTTCCTTTGCAGGCCAACAATCGAACCCTGCTCATGGATTTTTCGATCCACACCTTATCGATATACAACGTCGTTTTGCTGCTGCTCAATCAGCTGCGGCTGCTGGAGCACCAATGGGTGGAAATCCATCAAATACTCCAGTTCCCCCTGGAGCCATGGGATCTCCATTCTCTCTGTTTAACCCAAATGAGAGAGAAAGAAATGAAATAAGGTAATATTTGTTTACTAAGCTATTTTTATTTTACATTTTACTTTTTTATAATTTTACAAAAAATTTAAATTAATATTTACACATATTTATTATTTTTGATTATTTTACAGATCAATGATGCCCCCTGGTGCAAATGCTGAAGCTCTTGCTGCTGCTGAACGTTACCAAGCAGAAAGATTAAATTTATTTGAATCCCTAAATCGATACCAAATGTCTGGACTTACAGCGTCCGAATTGCACTCTCATGCTCATACTCACGCACATAATCACGCTCATGCTCATACTCATCTACATTTACATCCTGCAGATGCAAATTCAGCGGCGGCAGCAGCTGCGGCAACTGCAGCTACCATGGTCCTCCCGCCGCATCAATCCTTTTTGGATCCATCGATGAGGTAAAATATTTACTATTGCATTTTGCTTTTACATTTAGGGTATCCTGATGGCGAACTATTTCGTTAATCATTAAGTATCATTTTCCACTTATTAATTATCATATTTCCGTTTTTCTTTGGTTTAGGAACGATGGTCCAATGCACTCTGGTCATTCATTACTGCCTCCTTCCGCATATCAGGGTGGACCTAGATCTGGTTTGATGCACAGACCCGAAATGTTACACCTTGGAGCGAGTGGACTTTTAAGACCACCCTTCGATGACCCAAACTCTGGATCATGCCTTATAAATCCTATGATGCAACTTAGGCAGCAAAGATTTTGATTGATTAATCAATATAATAACTGATTTTGTGTGTTAAAATAATTGATATTGACATCTATTTTGGATCAAAATCATGTTGGATAGTTTAACTGAGCTTCCTTTAACTAAACCCAGTGTGGGAGTTGAGGGTTTACAACAAGCAAGAGAAAAAGTAAAAAATTTGTGTGAAGAAACAAATGCTTTGCTTAAGAAAAATGTTTACAAAAATTATCAACTCTTTATTGAAACATCTAAAGAAATATCATTCCTTAAAAGTGAAATGTCATCATTATCTCAGCTAATTAATGAGGAACAAAATTTAATAAGCTCTCTACAAGAGATGTCAATCTGTGGTGACAGACAGGGACCTTTATCATCTTCAATGGATAAAAAAGATCTGACCATTAATAATATGGATGACCGAAGACTTTCAGGTACAACTGGTAAACCAGGTACTCCTGGAAGGATGGGAAGCTCATTTACCAGTGATACATCTAATTCATTTGATAAAATTGACCAATGTATGTCACCTATTGGAGTTAATTTTGGTGAATCTGAAATGTTAGAGGAGGAGTGTCAATCTGATTCTGAGATGCACCAACATGGTTAATTGAACTATCCGAAGATCTAGATGTTTGTATTGCACAGCGAAATTTTGAGGATGCTGTTAATCTGGTACACAAATTTAATGATCATTTCGCCTTGTATCCAAAATTTTGTGAAGATCCATCACAGGCTGATTTAAAGAATAAAATAAATGGTCAAATTGAAGATTTGATAAAAGCCGTTTCCAAGGAACTAGAGATTGTACCCGATAGACCAATGCAAAATGGACCTCGTGCTGCTAGAAGAGCAGTTAATCTTCTAATTCGATTAGGACGTTCTTCAATGGCAACTGAACTTTTTTTGGCTCAAAGAAGTGCTATTCTAAGATATTGTTTAATGCAACAAAAGAAAGAAGGTGCAACATTGCCTTATATTGAACGTATGAGTACAGTTTTTTTCACAAATATCCAAGAAAGTTGTCGAGAATTTCAGAGAGCTTTTGGTCTGGCAAATACAACATCAGGAACTGGAACATTATCCTCTGCTGATAGTATATCATTAAACAATATGAATGATAAAATGAGTGGTTTTTCACTTTCATTAGCCATGGCATGTCTTGTATCTTGGGTAAAGAAAAAGCTGAAACATTATTTAGATTCATTTTGTGGTCATGTTTTCACAACTCAAGTACCTCCATCAATAGCCTCTGAATGTATTGCCATAGTCAATCATCAATGTAAAAAACTAAGATCTAATGTTCATATAGATTTAGTTTTTTATTGTGATCAACGCCTCCGACCAGGAATTGAAAAGATAATCAATGAATCACGGGATAAATTAATGGAAGCTATTAAACATAGATGTTCAAACGACAAATGGTTTCCACAAAATTTTGGTAACAAAGCTGCTATGACAAAATTTTTGGAAGAAATGAAAGAATGTAATTTAAATGTTCAGAATTTTGTTTATGATGAATGTCGCCTTTCACTTACAAGTAATACAACATCTTTTGCCAAATCATATCTTCATTGTTTACGTGATTTGGTTAAATTATCAACCTTGTTCACTCATAAATTAATGGTCAATGCACTGGTCACTCCTTTTAAAGCTCATATGAGGAATATCGATGCAGGTGGCACATCGAATTTTTACTGCATGTATTTTATCTTTCCATCAATATCACAATCATGATAACTATTATATATAAACAAATAATGTCATATGATATTTAACTTACTTATAATCCCTTTTGAACTAATTTACAAATACTGATTAGTTCAAACCTTGTCACTCAAAAGTGTAAAAGTGTAAAAGAAATCATCTCAGACCATCTCGCAAACAATACATAAATCCTAACTATAAATTTAGTTTTCAATTTTAACGGTTCAATTTCTTTTGTGGACCAACAAGTTTTATTAAAGATATAAATTCCTAAAGGGATTCATCATAAAGCATTTCTTATTTCTATCATTTTACTGTTTATTTTTCCGTGATAATGACGAGATAAATAAACACGGGATCAAATTACCTAAATTAAATGGAAATCCGGGAATAAATATTTATGCTGACAATAGTGAGATATATGAACATTCACCTTAAATTTAATAAGTTTTTTAAACTTGTCCTTAAACCAATCACAATCGTGAGTTTCTTTAGATATAATATAATATCATTCAGTTTAAAATATAGAAATTAATCAAGTATGGTTTGATATCAAATAAATCAAATTAATATGAACCAAGACGTCTGTTGTGGTGCGTTGAAGCGTATTTAAATCAAGATACAAGAAGATATCAATTATTGAGCAATATAAAATTGAATTTTAAGTTTCATCAATTAAATTGTAGTAGGTTAAAATTCTCCGTTCTGGACTTTTTTGCCACTCTTCGTTTTCTCGACAACTGCTCAGATTGATAAGGCCTTTGACTTTATTTCGACAAAGTTCTGTCAATTTAACAGGATCGATCATCGCTAGAAGAAAAAAAAAGACAATTAGAAGTTATATCAAAAATTGACATTTAACTATTTAACTCACGTAATTTGATCAAAACATCATCAGGTTTAGGTCGAGTTATAGCTGCAAAACTAACAGCATATACATATCTTTTTTTGAACTCAGTATCAGAAACACGGTTGATCACAGCTAATTGGTCATCTATGGGCATAACGAGTAAACCATTTATCTTAATGAATTGTCTCAAGTAAGGTTCGTCTTTTTCGGTACATGCAGTGCCACAATAAACGCGATCGTATTGTCGGATGGTTGATGGATCAATTTTCAAAAAGTTACCAGAAATGAAGGTCGGTTCACAAAACTCGAACTGAGTAAGGTTAGATAATTTGGTTTTAAATTCCTCCAATTTTTTGTAGGCATAATCAACAACACTTTGATGGAGCTCTACTCCGTGGTTAATACCTGTTTTACCAAGTACGAGGCCTACCATGGTGCTAAGATATCCTGTTCCTGAACCAAGATTGAGAAATGAAAGACCAGGTTTTAAATCGAGATACTCCATTACCTCTGAGTAAATGCATGGAGCAGAAAGGTGGAGAAGTCCATCTTTCCAAGCTGTATCTCGATAGGCATCTTCTTTGAAATCATCTGTATAATAATGTCCACGATCAACAGCACGGAAAATTTTTTCGACCTCTTGAGAACGAATTATTCTAGCTGCGACAAGATTGTCCACCAATTCATCATTATCTTCTCCAGCACTCACTGCGCCTCCCATGATTTACCTCGTCGAAAGAAAATCTCTTGATATTTGTCACAAACTTGTAATTTTTTATTTTCTTTGTGACATAACAGATTATAAAACAAAACAGAATATTTGATCAACGAAATTTAAGATGGAGAAATTGCACAGGAAAATAAAATAAAATTAATTTTTAAATTTTTAGCAAATAAACATCCTATTGCACGCACATTATTAAAAAATTAAGACATTAAAAATGAATCATTTGTCAAGTTTAAAATTACAATTTATCATACAATTAATCAAAAAAATGATAAATAAACAAAGGAAGAGATTACCATAGTTACCATAAGTAAATTTTGCTTTATTTATTTTGATTTAGGGAAAGACATTGAAGGCGCTGCATTTGTTTTTCAGCTGCACTAATGCCATCTAATGAAAGCTATCACATTTCATGATTTTAGATTCTGGTATGTTTCATCTTCAAATTAAATCAAATTTTCTAAATATTTCTAGTAATTTAGTGTATCTTTTTTATTATTTCTGCTGTACATTTCAACAAGCATCACAATTACATGATGGCATTAGCTACAAGAGGTGGTAAGTATTGCAAATTAGTCTAAAATGGTTAGTTTCTTAAAGCCAATTTCATTTCTATTTCAGAGACAGAAGAACAGCAGAAAATGAGATTCCAAGTGGAACTTGAATTTGTCCAATGCTTTGCCAACCCTAACTACCTTAATTGTGAGTAACTGTTTCTATGTCTTTGGAGCTTTACTGACTAATCTTTTTCTGTACATACAGTTCTTGCTCAAAGAGGGTATTTCAAAGAAAAAACCTTTATTAACTACCTTAAATACTTAAAGTATTGGAAAAGACCTGAATATGCCAAGTACTTGAAGTAAGTGTATACTGTCATCGCTTTTCAAATATTTAACTCGCGTCTAATTGTGTGTTTTTTATCTACCTTTCTCTGTCTATTATTTTTACTCAACGCTTAGATTTCCGATGTGTCTTCATTTCTTGGATCTTCTTCAATATGAACACTTTAGACGAGAATTGTCATCAAGTGCGTGTACTACTTTCATTGAGGATCAACAGCTACTTCACTGGCAAGGTTACATTAGGAAAAGAATGCGTCTTTTACAGAAAACTGATGAACCAACATAAATTAGCGTTATTTGCGTTAATCTTTATAGAAAATGAAAAGCTCATATCCGGCAACAACTTTGCGTAAAATATTTCATATTTCCTTACATTTTATTCACAACGGTGTAGCACACTAAATTTTGATGGATATATCTTTCATCTGATTTTGCTTATTATGCACCAATTTAAGTAATAAGAGTTTAAATATACAGAAGCAAAAATTTGAATACATCAAACAAGTCTTTCCCTCTCTATATCTGTTCCTACGTGTGTGTGTAACTTCGAATAACTGCCATCCATCTCCAATATTGCGTTATGTAAATTGTTCAAGAGTTGAAAAATTAAACGTGAAGACATGTCACATTCTAAGCAATACGTTCTGCTCGACTCTCGTTTCTGTAAAAACAAAAATAATGTCAATGCCTTGATGTTGAATCCAGTGCTGATAGCCATTCACTCGTAATTTTCTGTATTGTCTGTCCATGAATCCTGAAATCTGTAAATGTGTGCGGTAATATATAATCTTGATCACTCTCTCAATTTTTATTGTGAAATGGTGTTAGAAAAATCAAAATTTTTTATAACTTGGTCCAAAATTTTTAGTCGTTTATGCAAGTGAAGGCGAATACGTCAAGACTAAAATTCTGTACAAATCCCATTTGTAACTGAATATAAATTAACTATTGTTGAAAGAAAACAAATTTTCTAAAATCTATTTCCAGCATAATTATATTAGAGATTTCGATTATGATTAAAATATTAAAAATTAATCATGGAAAGTTTCCAATGACAGACAAGAATCGAATCAGGGAAATTTTATAGTAACATAAGCTAGTTAATCATTTTCATATTTTGCGCCTAACCTTGTTACCAACATTTAACCAATCAGCTGACAATGTTTAGAGCTATATAATTAATTGTAAAATTTGCTGAAATATTATTGAGACTCTGTTTTATTTACCTTTATTTCTTTGATGATTTAACTGATTTTGTGTGTTAAAATAATTGATATTGACATCTATTTTGGATCAAAATCATGTTGGATAGTTTAACTGAGCTTCCTTTAACTAAACCCAGTGTGGGAGTTGAGGGTTTACAACAAGCAAGAGAAAAAGTAAAAAATTTGTGTGAAGAAACAAATGCTTTGCTTAAGAAAAATGTTTACAAAAATTATCAACTCTTTATTGAAACATCTAAAGAAATATCATTCCTTAAAAGTGAAATGTCATCATTATCTCAGCTAATTAATGAGGAACAAAATTTAATAAGCTCTCTACAAGAGATGTCAATCTGTGGTGACAGACAGGGACCTTTATCATCTTCAATGGATAAAAAAGATCTGACCATTAATAATATGGATGACCGAAGACTTTCAGGTACAACTGGTAAACCAGGTACTCCTGGAAGGATGGGAAGCTCATTTACCAGTGATACATCTAATTCATTTGATAAAATTGACCAATGTATGTCGCCTATTGGAGTTAATTTTGGTGAATCTGAAATGTTAGAGGAGGAGTGTCAATCTGATTCTGAAATGGCACCAACATGGTTAATTGAACTATCCGAAGATCTAGATGTTTGTATTGCACAGCGGAATTTTGAGGATGCTGTTAATCTGGTACACAAATTCAATGATCATTTCGCCTTGTATCCAAAATTTTGTGAAGATCCATCACAGGCTGATTTAAAGAATAAAATAAATGGTCAAATTGAAGATTTGATAAAAGCGGTTTCCAAGGAACTAGAGATTGTACCTGATAGACCAATGCAAAATGGACCTCGTGCTGCTAGAAGAGCAGTTAATCTTCTAATTCGATTAGGACGTTCTTCAATGGCAACTGAACTTTTTTTGGCTCAAAGAAGTGCTATTCTAAGATATTGTTTAATGCAACAAAAGAAAGAAGGTGCAACATTGCCTTATATTGAACGTATGAGTACAGTTTTTTTTACAAATATCCAAGAAAGTTGTCGAGAATTTCAGAGAGCTTTTGGTCTGGCAAATACAACATCGGGAACTGGAACATTATCCTCTGCTGATAGTATATCATTAAACAATATGAATGATAAAATGAGTGGATTTTCACTTTCATTAGCCATGGCATGTCTTGTATCTTGGGTAAAGAAAAAGCTGAAACATTATTTAGATTCATTTTGTGGTCATGTTTTCACAACTCAAGTACCTCCATCAATAGCCTCTGAATGTATTGCCATAGTCAATCATCAATGTAAAAAACTAAGATCTAATGTTCATATAGATTTAGTTTTTTATTGTGATCAACGCCTCCGACCAGGAATTGAAAAGATAATCAATGAATCACGGGATAAATTAATGGAAGCTATTAAACATAGATGTTCAAACGACAAATGGTTTCCACAAAATTTTGGTAACAAAGCTGCTATGACAAAATTTTTGGAAGAAATGAAAGAATGTAATTTAAATGTTCAGAATTTTGTTTACGATGAATGTCGCCTTTCACTTACAAGTAATACAACATCTTTTGCCAAATCATATCTTCATTGTTTACGTGATTTGGTTAAATTATCAACTTTATTCACTCATAAATTAATGGTCAATGCACTGGTCACTCCTTTTAAAGCTCATATGAGGCATATCGATAAGTGTTTACGTGATGATAACTTTAGAAGTCAACGAAAACTAATAGTTATCAACGCAAATTTCGTTCTGGACACTCTTCTTCCCATGGTTATCCAATATTGCAATACCAAGTTCAATTCTGTCCCAGATGAAATTCTTTCTCTATCTATTAGAGATTATTGTTAAAGTTTTGCGGAAATAATTATCAATGTATTTGCTTCGCTAATAGAGTTTATAATAAGATTTATTAACTACTTTATCTAGACATTATACTGTTCGTACCTAAACGAGTATTATATTGCTACAAATAAATTAACGTTCTTTAGTTGAAGTCCATTTTGTTTTCAATCATGAAAAACTAAGAATTGAGCACAATCATAAATGAGCTTGAAACACTGGCTCAAAAAGATAGTGTGTTTATCAACTAGATCTAATGATTTCGAAAATAATGCTTCCAATAGGTTTCAAGCTTGATTACAATTTGATACCCGAGTATGTATTTAGAGGCATTAGATGAATCGTTTTCCTTTCTGAGAAATAATTTTCATATTAATTGATTACCTTTTATGGATAAATAATAAAAAGGCCCGAACTCGGTCAAACTGGAATCTTTTAGCTACATATCCAATATCCTCCAGTGAGTAAGAATTTTAAAATGCTGGAATAAAAATGAGTTACCGGCTAAAAACAATGTGTAAACGAATGTCGCGAAATCCGAATTGAAATAAACAATGATACAGATTAGTTTAAATGGTATCAAAAGCATCTTTTAGTTTTATAAGGTGTCCGTGCAATTAGATTAACTCCTCAAGAGAGGTACATACAGAGATAAACGAAAGATAAACTTGGCCAAGAGATGTCAAGACACTCAACCGCGCCTTGCCCCGAATACCTTATTGAGGTGACACTCCCAAAAGATTCTCCAACAAATTTGATCAATAAAATTGACCTCAGACAATTAGAGAAGGAAAAAGAAAATAGAGATAGATTGAAGAAAAGACAGACAAAAGAGATTAGAAACAGATAACTCAATGTCACAGTCAATCCAGTGTTTCACACTTGATGACTTGAAGTATTCTTCTCTAAGTTAACACCGTCACCACTGACGGGTCCAGTATCACCAACAGTAGCGCTTTTGTCAGTTCGTTCAGCACGACCAGTTCGTTCAATACCCCGGTCACTTTTGTCACTTCGATCTCCAGTCTCTTTTCGACTATTGGTATATTTCCCTCTGTTCACCAATGTTCGTATTTGCCTTTGAGCGGCTTGTGTGGCGAGAAAATCTCCAATAATATGGACTGGTGTCTCCTCTGAAGAACTATTTTGTCCTTCTTCAGGTAATTTGATGATTGCATGAGTATAATTTTGAAGCTCGCGAACAGTAACTCCACCTTTGCCAATTATACGTCCCACTTGGTTCGAAGGAACCATAATTTCCACTTTCAAAGCAGCTTCCTGAGGACCCGACAGTCCTTCATAACCAACTTTCCTAAATATCATGAACTGAGCTTTCCATTGTGCCTCAGGCGTCCCTACTATGGTTACTTTTCTCTCATTCGTTCTATTATCAGACGTTTGCGATAAAGGTGATGGCAGTTGAGAGGAAACTTGAGAGGGAGAGGAAGAAGACGACTGTACAGACGAAGGTGATTGTGGTTGTTGTTGTTGTTGAGCTTGCTGTTGCGTCTGTTGTTGCGTCTCTGAGGACTGCTGTGTCGGTTCAGGTTGAGCTAGAGGCTCTTGGCTTAAAGACTGTCGTTGTTGATCATTAGGTGGCGTCTGCCTAGATTTTTCATCTTTGGGAGGCTGAGCAACCTTAATACTTGCACCAGAAGAGTTGATCATATCTCGAATGGTACTACCTCCAGTACCAATTATGGCACCGACAGCGGCATTAGGTATATACAAGTAGACAGTTTCCTTGGTTTGCTCTGATGTCAAAGATGATAACGGTGACCCACCGGGACCTGCCGCTAATGGCAATGGAGGAGGAGGAGGTGGTGTACCATAAGGCATAACAGGAGGTATGTAGGATGGGCTACCATAGAGACCGTATGATGATGGTCCAGGTCCAGGTCCAGCTGTCGCTGGATGATGAGGACCTAAAGGATGATGATGATGATGATGACCTGGTCCACCGGCACTATGATGGTGAGCACTTCCTGGGCCCCCACCACCACCGCCTCCAGGTCCACTACCAGGTCCAGAACCTCTTCCGTGAGGTGGCGGTGGACCTGGAGGAACTGGAGGGCCGGGAGGATGATAACTGTGCGCTGCAGCGGCAGCGGCTGATCCATAGGTTGACATTATTGCCATTGGATGAAGTCCCGGATACATTGGCATCGTCGGTGCCATGGCAGCTAAATCACTTTCATAACTTTGTCTCAACTTATTACTGATCATTTGTTCAGCGGCACATATATCAGATAAACGACCTCGTATTTCAATCACACGCTCCATGTTAAAAGAGTTAACATCATGGAGGTTATTAGATACCGTTATTTTTGTATTAGTACTTTCCATAATACGTTTGATTGTAGCTCCGTTTTTACCAATTACCCGGCCAATTAGACTATTGTGAGCAAGTATTTTAAGCGGTATTTCTCCTCTATTGGTACTATCAGATTCCATTTGCATCACCTCCATAATCTTTTCACAGGCCTTGGAGCAATTTTCCGGGCTACCATAAATTGTAATAACTTTTTCCATTGAACCGGAATTTTCTTTCCTGTGTACATCAACACGAGCTCGAGTTTCCTCTGTAATATAACGAATAGTGTTGCCTGATCGTCCAATAATAGCTCCAACCATGTCTGACAGTACAAGAATACGCAGTGGAAAATCGGAGCGACGTGCAGCACTGCTACTAGCAATTCCACTTCCACTGGTACCACTACCACTGCCGCCTCCTCCTCCACCGCCACCGCCACCACTTGGATTATTACCAATATTACGGTGACCTCCGGATCCAGGCATATTTTTATATAAGGCCAGTTTCTTTACTTCCTTTTTAGCTTCACTTGTTGGTTCACACAAAGTTAACTCAATACTTTTCTTACTCTTTGGTTTGGTTTGATTGAAGGTCTGTTAAATGATGATAATAATTTAATTTGATCTCCCAACAAAAGAATGATGAAAACTGGATAAGTTATAAATGAGTGGACGTGATCACAATGGCCTGGTCTGTTTGTTGGATCCTTGTTACGATGTGATGCATATATCCAACGTGGCAGGCAGCACAAACAGACACACCACAGTAACACCAGCAACCAGCAGACAACACAACACAGCCAAGGCAACACCAAGTGCTGTGAAAGAGAAACGAGAAAATAGGTAGAGAGGATGGTAATGATGAAGATGATGATGCTGTTAATGATGATGATGATGAAAAAAAAACAGGAGAGAAAAAGAGTTAGAAAAAGGAAAGAAAAAGAAGTTAAAACAACTAAAGTAACTTAATGTAAAGTTTGGAGTTTCTGTTGTGCAGTTAACCTACAATCTCTATACAAGCTCCTATGAATCTGTTGTGGATCTGATCTGCTATGTTTAATATGACTCAAAAAGAGTGAGGAGAACCTGAATCTTTACAGAAGAATCATGAGAAGGAGAAGATAAAAGAGAGCAGCAAAAAAGAGAGAGAAAAAGAAAGAGATAAAAAAGTACGAGAAAGAGAGAGAAGATGAGAAGAAAGAAAGAAAAACTATTTACTGATTTCGACCTTTCGCCCTTTCTTTCTCTCTCTCCATTCATAAAATCTTTCCTTTCTGCTCATTCTCTCTGTTACATTTTCTGATCTCATTCATAAATTTTCAGTTCCATTCGTATGTATATTGTTCACCATTAACTTTTAACTTTGAAACTTTGGCTGCCCTTCTTCATGAAAAGGATTCATTATTCAGATCATTTTGTCCATTTTACCTGCGGTTACCTGATTCTGATTAAACGCCATCTATTGGTTACTTAATAAGCGCGGGTGATTACCAAATGGGCGGGAGGAAAATGGGGAAAGGGCGTTAGATGGCGCTCATTAGAAAATAATTTAATTAATTCTCGTTGTGCATTTTTTTTAAATAAGGTGACAGGTAAAGGAAAATAAGGAAACTAAACTAATTTAATATGGTTAAATTAATTGGGTTCAACCAATGTTTCCAGTAATATCTCAGCCTTGGACGATTATCGACCTAGAAGAAGGAGATGATAGCTTTTCGCAGAAAGTATAAGTAAGTATTTTTAGGTCTGGTTATCGATTCAATGCTAAACTATTTTAGGAAACTTGCTCTGAATCTTGTTCTACATCCCGGCATCTTCTTTCTCTCTGTCTTCCCCTTCTTCTTAACTCTCTTTCCATCCTCTCTCTCCTCTCTTTCTTCATGCATTTTCTTCCCTCTCTTTTTTTGGATTTGTTTCCAAATATTATGGCGAACTCTACATTCATAATTATTTGCTTTTTTTCGTTAAGATGGTATCTTCCCTTACACATATCTTATCAGTTATACAAGAACAAAACTGGTAAACCATAAAAAAATCTAACCAAAAACTGTTTCCAGAATCAACTTCTGATTGATGCTTGTAAACAGTACAATTTACAGGTTCTCTTCTGCCCAATGATATGCTTTAAGACGAGCAATGTTATGTTCTCGATTTCTTGTGACTAACTAACTAATAGACTAATTGAATATTCACACTTCAATTGTATCTCAGAATTGAAAAGTCTAGCCATAAGACACAAATGAACAACAAATCTTTGATATTAATTCTGAGTGCAAACCTGAACATTAGGAATCTAAGGTTGTAAATTGTGAAAGATTTTTTTCGTATGTAAGTTTTGTCAAATCTGACAACAATCAAAATGTAAATAAGGAGGTAAAACATAAATAATTTAAGAATATTGGGGTTCAACCCAGTTATTAATAATTTTATTTTCTAATCATGTGATTTTTTATTTCATTTTATTTTCAAATATTTAGACTCAAATCATAACACGGATGCTGCATGGATTATGCCTTTAAGGTGACGACAGTAAACTTAAAGCGTGAACTGGACTTGCATTGAAAGATAGCTTACTCGATCATCATCATCATCATCATCATCTCTCCTTTTTTCAATCTGTCTGGTTGTATCAAGAGTTATGAGGGGAATTTTTGGAATACCTGATTGAACCCAATGAACCTGAATTGAAAAACAAGGTAAACCTTAAGATTGTTAACATGTTTTTACAGTGTGATTGATACTTGGCAATGGCACAGTGAAAACATTATGGGCTAACCCCATTTGTTTCATTCAAAAAATATATCTATAAATTTGTTGTGTTCAACAAATTAATTGCTAAGGGCAAGATTGGTCTAAGAAATAGTCAACAAATTGCCAAGAATGTAACCGATTAAATCAGGTTAGCTGCTCTTCAACCGTTTATCCGGATTTATATTCAAGTTACAATATTACAATTTTTATCTGAAAATGAATCTACATGTTCCCCTCTCTTTCTCTTTTTCTTTCTCAATCTTGAGCACAAGATTAGATTAACTCATTAACTTTTCTTTTTCAAATATAACCTTTTGTTTTTTTTCTTCAACACCGTAACTTCGTTAATATTGATTACGACGTTACTTAATTTATCCGCAATCCTAATCCTTCTGTAAATTACTTTCATTTTTTTCATCATTCAGTTCAAAAATTGTGGTTCTTTCAATCATGCCGCCATAGAGACTCTAATCATGGTAACCAAATCTAGTTCTAGATCAAGGACGGATCCAGATGCGTCAATGGTTCAGCTAAATCCTGTTTACCCACAGCCATTCCAATGTATGTAAATTATGGCATTTTAATTTCAAGAGATTTCATTCTTATTTTTTATTTTTTTCAGATTTAATTGGCATTTAATGAACGGTGAAAAAATGTATCTTTTGGAGAAGGCCTACTTGACTGTTTGTCCAACATTTTATAATCAAACTGATAACCGTTAGATCAACATCTTAAGCATTAATATGATTTCTTTCATAATTGGACTAGGAAAAGGCTTGATTATCTTTGATAATCAACGAGATGATTTACTCCATTTAATGTAAATAATCAAAGTTCAACCAACTTACCAACCTGATTTTAATCCAACCAAATGATGTAATAATATCAAACTTAGAGTTGGAAACATTTGGTAAATTTAAAAGCTTCAGTTAAGTAATGCATCAATATATTTCTTGGTCAAAATCTGAACCAGTCGATTCTGAGATGACTTGTTATAGCTACTTTCAAAGAATACAAATATTACAATATAAATTGATCGATAAGTTGAATTGTTAATGGATAATGACCTTCGAAGAATTAAAAATGATTTGATGTAGCTAAAAATAGATGAAACCTTTGAACTAAACCTTATTTACAAATTATGGTAGATGATAGTCGATATTAATCAAACAAAAGCTACAAAATAATTTCAATTTAATCTTATTGAATATAAATCTAATAATTAAGATTTTCTTTATCATTTCAGGTAAATGCTGTGGTAACTATTTGATTTATTTAACCTGGTAAAATTGGGTAAATCTGGTTGACCAGTGCTTTTCACTCTCTGGATACAAAGGTCTTGTTTCGAGAAATATTTCCTCAATTAACCAACAATTCCAGCTCTGATTTGAACCTGATCCTGATTGTAATCTGTAAATTCAAACCCATTGACATTGGAATGAACCAGAAATGGAAACCAAATTGCCGATGCATCGTAAATGAATAATAATGATCCCATGGAAAATGATTAGTGGATACAAAATTGTTTGATTATTTTACTGTGATGAACCGAATGAAGAAAAAAAACTTGTTCAACTTCTCAATGGAATCATCTAAGTGTCTTTATATATTTTTACATTATATTTGAGACTAGAAGTGTAACATGGAGGTCATAGCCTGGAAATCGGTTGTAACCTACTTTTATATCGATCGATAAATGAGAAGCAATGAAATGGGAGTTAAGGGGGAGGATGAAAATGAAGAGGAAGGAAGAGGAAGATGAAGATGCAAGGCCACAGGATAAAGAGTCTATTTGATGGGTTATGCTTTTCTGTGTCGTAAGGATCTAATCAAATCGTCTCAAATTTACTCTATCATCATCATCATTCTCATCATCATCATCTTTACCATCTTCTTTTGTTTTCTCCCTTTTTTTATACATATTATCGTACTCACTCCGAAACACTCCCTGTGACCTCTCGAAGCTTCCAACCATTCTCACTGTTCCTCATTGGAATCAATGAAATCCGGGAGTCAAAATGATGAGATGAAATGATGATGATGATGATGAAGATAGATTCGTTGTGACGTAGTCTCTCTTTGGCCTGGGATTGTGTGAATGAAGAAGATGATAAAGGATGATTAGGAACTGAATGCAGGTTATGTATGATTTCAGGTCAATCGCCATGTTTATATCTAAAAATAGAAATGCTTAAAAATAGACTTTGCCTTTTCCCCTTCAACCATTACAAGCACCTCCTCTTGGCCCTTTAACTACTTAAGATCATATTAGTTATTTGTTTTTTAACTCCCAGACATTATTACTATTATTATTTCAGTATGTGACAAAAGTTCAAGAATTAGTTTTATCAATGATTAAAATTTAATTAATGACTTTTCATTGAGGAAAATTGAGGAAAAAATTGCCATTTCATATCGTTTGCCTAAACTTTTATCGCACATTGAATCACTAAAAAAAGATTTTGATCAAAATTATTATCGAAACATTTTCGGATTGCAATTGAACTGAATAAAAATTAATTCGTCAATCCCAGGCATTTAAACACAAGTTATAAGGTATGATCGGCAAAGATTTGGGTATTTTTCATGCAAATAAATGATGCCAGCTTGATTTGGCTCACAAGCATAATTCAACCATTTTAATGCAGATCCACATAATTGACAAAATCTGAAAATATCTGATATTCGTGAAAAATCATTGGTGTTTGTCAAGAATTAAAGGTTTGAAACAACAATAGTTCTAGTTCATTTGCTGTTGACGAAAAGCTTGCTTACTTTGTTTAACCGCAAGCAAGTTGGCTAAAGTGAAATATATCGATTGAAGTGAAATATATTTTGCCGAGAAATGGTCGACGAATCAGTCTTTTCATCCCTAAGTTTTGAATCAATTTTTATCAGCTGAGAAATGCTTGTAAAATTACTTTTTCACATTATTGAAATTGATACAATGCTAGAGAAAAAGTAAACCAGGATTTTTTATTGACCGTGATTTTCAATCATTTGGTTGGTTCCGCTCCTCACTGGACCCTCCGACTAGCCTGTTAATAAATAGCTCATGTAATTAATTCAAGTTGTATATAATTCTAAAATTGACTGGAAAATTAATTTAATTTTAGCCCAAAATACATGAGATAACCTTTGAGAATCCATTGACTATCACTAAACTAAACTTGCTATTGTGAGAGACTGTTATTGTTTTAATGGACAACTGAACAAATCTTGTTTTGATTAATTTGGATTCACTGATTTTGATAAAAACTGTGACCAAAAATGAGGCAAAGTTGACCTTTACAGAAATAAGGCCAAGTTGAGAGTGAATTGTGTCTAAATTTGGCAAATGGTTGTTTGGGTAAAGGGAACAACAAGTTGCCATTGGAATTGCATTAACCCAAACCAGAAGCGATTCAACATTTGATTTGTGATAATTTAAACGACCATTTTCACCTTGCATATAAATGATTACAATTATAATTGATCATCATCAGCATCCTTGTCGTTATATGGAGTTGATTAAAGGAAAGCTAAAGATGAGAATGAAGAGGAAAAATGTTTACATAAAATAAGGTGAAAGTTTTTCATCTTCATGTTCATCTCATGAGAATGCTTATCATTTTTATTTGCAAGCAAAAGCCTTTTTCGTTAAGTTTCAACTCCATTGAGAATCCCTTTTGTTGCATCCTCATCCTCATCATCTTCATCATCTCATTCAACTCCTTCAATTCTCACTCCCAGTTGCTCCATATTGGCTTCAATGAAATCGGAATCTAGGTCAACGAGCTCAGCTGATTCGGTTGACGTCAATGAACAATCAGGGAGGGACTTATTTCCAGGTTAAGGTTTTTCATCTTCATCATCATTATCATCATTGTTGTTGCAACATTGCATTTTACTCTCTTTCTCATCATCATCATGATTACCTCTTCCAATCTACTCATCATTCTTCATCTTCTCTTACCTTATTTGCTTTTCATATCTTCTTCCACTATTTACTACATTATATCTTCTTCCTTTCTTCATCATCTTTTTTTCCAGCTTTTCATGATCCAAATATTAAATCACTTTTCTACCTTTATTATGATCGTAAAAATCAGCTTCAAACCTTCAACCTTGCTTTGGCCTTTTGTTTAATCAAAAATCTTAGAATCACTTGATTCCTTTTCCTGGTTTTGGTACATTTTCCCTGGTAGTTTAGGTTAACATTGTCTTTACCATCACAGTTTGGTCAAGATCTTCATTTTAAATCTAATTTCATTTTTTCCGGCTTTTAATTCATCTTTGCTATTGTTAGTCAATTCTTGACAAGTCTTTCAACTTGTCCTTTCAATAACCAATCTTAATGGTTTTGGTTTCAATTTTGGGTTGACATTTGATCTTTACATTCAATTTTGCATGTGAAGGTTTTTTAGTCACACTTAATGGGTAAGACTTTTACAATAATCACAACCAGAAAATTTCTAGCTTCTGATTACTTTAAGTTACAATCGTTTTGGTTAAGGGAACTTTCAATTGTTGTGTTGGTTAATCCAAACCTTTATCGAAGTTTAAATCATATTAATTTGGTAAATTAGTAATCATTCAGCAATTAGTGTGTTGTTAGATTCACAAAACTTGGAAACAGACGGTGCAATTAATACTCCAAAGTCCATGATAAAACAGCAACAAGTTGAGTCCGGTGTGAAAATGAAATTGTAAACATAACGGTTGATTGAGATTATGTAATTAATATGAAATGAGAGAATCTATTAGATTCATTTTAATTAAAGAATGGTTAAAGATTAAACTTAAAATAAATAAATCTCGTTAAACAAATAAAAACAATGAAACTTGAGTGTTGTGTCAATTTTTCATTTCAATACCATCATATTGATGTTGTTCATTACTTTGTTTAACTAATTAGACTACAGTTCTGGTAAGAGGCACTGAAATGAACACACAATCAAAGGAATCATTGAATGAATAAACAATTTGAGACGATTTATCACAATTATCCAGCAATAAAATTAATTTGAGATAAGCGTGTGAATAAAAATGTTAGTTTTATAATTCATCAGTAGAGAGCAGCTCTTTATTGAAATACAACTGACACTAAAAACTTGATTTAAAAAATTAAACATTGAAAATATTCAGTCAACTCCTAGTTTCAAGATTTTTAACTGAAAATGGAAGACAATACACGATTAAGATTAAAAGTCTTATCTTTTAGACAGATAAGAGGATAAACCAAGGCAGAGATAAGTACTTCAAATGTCACTGAAAATTGTTAGCCTTAAGTGCAAGAAAAATCTGAAATGCTTGACAATTTCGTTTCATATTGGTTAGTAAAATGAAATTAAGTGTTTATACCAAATTAAAAATTTGATCAGATTCAGATATTCTTGAGCTTAACCTGCAACAAATTTTAAAAGCAATAATTATTAGCTTTTGGAACAAATATTGACGTTCAAAAGTGTTGACCAAATCTGATAGAGATAGCAATGAATCTTGGAGAGATTGTTTGATGGACCAAAGGAAAACAATTCAATCTTTGGTCCAGTATGTTATTCATATCTTTACATTTAAATTTTGACCTTTTATCTTTTATCACATTTAAAGTGACAGATTATTTTCCTTCGAGAAGGACTGAAGTTAAGTTGTAAAAGCTTTAACCATTTGCGTGCCTGAGGGAAAAATGTTTATCTTTTTAGGAGTTGCCAGGAAACTAACCTGAAGGTCACTTGGTCTATTGGTTATTATTGTTTCAACTCTTCTTCATTGGTCACTAAAAGATAATTTTTAAGGATTATCTGGCCGTTAATTTTCATTGAAATAAGCAAATTGTGTTGAATGTTTTCTAGAAGGCGCTTCTTCGTTGGTTTTATTTTGAACCCGAGATGGCGCAGATACTCTTTGGATTTCTGCAAGAAGAAAGAGATGAAGAAGAGTGAGATGGAGAGAGAGGGTGAGTGAGAGTAAAATTGTGCGAGTTGCTGAAAATCAATTGAAATTGAAAATTTTGATTAATTTACCAAAATTGTGTTAGTTTATTCTTGTTAATAGGTTAACAACTTTATATTATTTCTTCTAACTTAAATTGTGTTTAAAATGAATACAAAAGTATCCAATGTGTCCTCAAGCGCCTCTTACGCCTCACCAGCGGCCATACCAGTAACCAATGTGTCTCCTGGTGTTACCCCCAACAACACATCCTCAACTCCCTCAACAACATTATCTACTATCTCTACCGATGCTGATCCCAAATCGACTTCCACTCCTGAAATTAATCCGCAAGCCATTGGCAGAGCCTTCGTCAGACAATACTATACCATGTTAAACTCCGGCCCGCACATCTTACATAGGTTTGTATCTGGTGTTGAAAAGTGATACCCATTCTGGGTGCGCTCCATTGCAAATTTGACTTCAAGAGATTCATAATTAGATATCAGTTGAAAATTCCTTGCGATGAGTGCGTGAAATCATGAATTTAAGAAATCCGGCTAATTTGTATGAGAGGGTGGTTATAGGAAGATAGGGATGCAAAGAGGAAAAGGCGAGAAAGGTACAGAGAGGTGATTATCTCTTTCTACTCTCTTCTAGCTCTTTCTTTTTCTCTTTTTGCTTTCACTCGGTTCACGCATTGATTCTAGGAGAGGAAGTGGGTAGCTCGATTCATAACCTCACCTTTACTCATAGTGTACTTCATGTTATGCAAATATTCCCGTGTTGCAGGCCTATTTTGAAAGTTGATTTGCTTAACTCAACTTCGAACCATCAGTTTTCATTCATTTCCTAGAGTTGGAGGCTAGTTTCACAGATGCACATTGAGAGGTTTTAGACTGTTTTTGACTTTTTCAAATTTAGCAATTTTCTTGATTTTTCCTATCAATGTTGGATCTTTTTCAAATTTATCTTTAGTCGATTTAATCTCATGGCTTTAACTTCGCAATGGAAGTGCTATCACTACTTGAGAATGTTGCTAATTATGTCTTGATTTTTTTTACAGATTTTATAGTGATGAATCGGCATTATTACATGCCGGGTCCAGTTCGTCCGAAGACCCTTCAAGTCCGGTCTATGGTCAAGAGAATATTTATAAGAAAATAATGTCGCTCAATTTTAAGAACTGTCACACCAAGATTATTCACGTTGATAGTCTTGAGACTGTCGGCAATGGTGTAGTCATTCAGGTACATGTTTCTTTCATACTTCCCCGAGTCTACTCAGTTCAACAATCTCGTTCGACTCTTATTGCGTATTTGCATTATCGAGTCATTACAATTTTGTAGAATTGTTTTTCTTTATCCAATCTCCATACAACCCCATTTGTCATCAGAATTGCTTATTTCTAACATTTTTTTCTTGCTTATATAGGTTATCGGAGAGCTCTCCAATGATTCGCAGCCGATGAGGAGATTTTTACAGACTTTTGTGTTGGTACCCAGGTCTCAAACTAACTACTACGTACGAACAGATATTTTTCGCTACCAAGATCAGGATGACGATGAGATCTGTGAGTCAGAGAAGACCGATGAAGTTAGTAAAGAAAGTGCTGAGCTTCAATCGTCGCCCGTTAACCCACAAGGACAACAATCGCTTCATCCAGTTAATCCTCCTGCTCCTTCATCAGCTGTTGAACAATTCAACAGTCCTGTTATCCCTGAAAGCGCAAATGATAGTTGTCCTAACAATGAAGTACCCAAGTATCCTGAGTTGAGTATCAACGGTAATCTGAGTGATGTACCACACATTGAAGATACTGTTGAAATCCCAGTCGAAACAGTAGTAGTAGAAAAACCCAAAATCGACTTTCCCGTCAATAACAATATTGATGAAGGTTATAATGAAGGAGAAGATCGCTTAGTCAATGATAGCTCTGGGTCACATGGTTCAGAAGAACAGAACTTCGAAGCCACTCATGAAGAGAGTGGCAACGCAAACGAGCCCAAGACTTATGCAAATATGGTCAGCAAAAATCCAGGCAGTGCAGCTAATATCCTTCATTCGCCTCCATTTTCTACAACCAATAATTCGGTTGCTAAACCAGCCGATTCTAACAATGGGGCAATTGGTGTGACTACTTTTAAAAATAAAAATTGGTGAGTGAATTACTTAAGTGTAATTTCCGCACTATATTCGTCTTTCATGATGAGTCAAAGAATTCAGACTTGCCCTAACTGAGTAATAATGAGCGATTCTTATCTATATCTGATAATAGTTATCGAAATACGACTCATGAATTATAAGACATCCAATTAATTGATTCTTTTCGTTAGTAGGTCCAATGACAAGAATACCGAGAGTAGCCAATCAACTGGTCCTTCTGTAACACCTCTACCAACTACAAACCATCAGCAGACTAGCAATAGTGCTAATGTTGGTAAACCTATGAACAATAATAATCAAAGAGAAACAAAAAATCGTGGATCTCGAGGTGAACAAGGAAGGAAAACTCGCAATGAAAATCGCGAAATTACTCCTGGTAATGACAATGACTTGACCCAAGCTGACTCTAGTGGTGATTTTTCGGTACGAAAGCAACAGTTTTCTGATGAACAACAAGTATTTGTTGGTAATCTACTTCAGGACATAACCGAAGATCAACTCCGTAACTTTTTCTCTAAGTACGGAAATATCATAGATGTTAGAATAAATAGAACTAATCAAAAACAAGGAAGAACCCCGAACTATGGATTTGTGACATTTGATGATCCGTCTATTGTTAAGAAAATTCTTTCAATGAAAGTAAGTTTACTTTATTTTTATTATTATACATTAATTTCTAATTTTTTTCATTGTCTTTATTCCATTCCTCAGCCAATATATTTTGATGACCATCGCTTTAACGTTGAAGAGAAAAGATCACAAGCTAATCGTGGAAACGGTACCAATAACACTAATAGGACAGGAACTGGTGGAATCCAAGGGTCTAATACAGGAAGATCAATCAATAACTCAAACTCATCTGGATCACGTAATCAGTCTGGAGTTCGTCGAGATCGGGCACGTCGGGATCGTGGAGACAGAGGAGATCGAGAAAGAATAGGTGGAGGAGAACGTGATAGATTAGCGGGAAATGATAAGGATAGAGTCGAGATAGTTTCAAAATTGGTTAAGAATAGATAGAGAATTCCCAAATATGAAAAAATTCCTAAAGACAGAAAAAGATCCAGAATTGCTGGCTTGATATTATAAATGTTTGTAATTAATAAGGTTGGCTCGTAAAAGACAACTTCTGGTTCTTTTCGATCCAACTTAAAATGATGATAACGAGTATCTTTACTGAATTTCTTCAAAACGGCAAATAAGTTTGACATCAGGGGTGCAACCTTATAAGTTGATCCAGTGACTGTTGTTAACAGCATTTGTTGACTCCTAGGTGAACTCGTGATTTGTTTCAACATTGAATTTATAAATTGTTTACTCACACCACCACCAAGCTCGTCTTTAAATGTATTAGATGATTGATCTGGATGATGATTATTGAAAACAAGATGATATAAAGTTTCAGCGATTATTTCAATATTTTTAGTTAGAACATCAATATTAACATTATCAATTGTATCTATGATACTATTACGACTCAGTGATTTAGGATTTTGTAATGAAGATAATGTTAAAGCAGGTATTCGTCTTTGAATGAATCGATCATGTTCCCAATTAAGAAGATCATCGGAAAGGAAAGTTTTCTTAGGGACAAATGTAGCATTTATATCTTTTTTTGATGCAATTTCAGAAAGATGATTGAATAGTTTGAATGTTGTTGTAGTTTCTTTAGGAACTCGTGGTACATGTGCATATATTGAATTATCGGGTAAAGAACCAAGAGAATCTAAACAAATTGATACTTGAACATCACCAAGTAGACCAGATTCTTTAATATCCATGTGTTCTTCAATCCATTTTTTAGTACCAAGATAACTAAATTTACCAGCACCAGAAAGTAAGAAAACTAAATTGAATGACGGTTTCACTTTTCGTGTAGCATAGAGTTTAGAGAATATTCTGACAAGTTCGAGTAAAGCCACAACACCACTTCCATTTGAATCGCCACCAAAGGAAAGTCCAGGTGAAATACCGAAAGCATCATTATGGGCAACAACAACGATAGTTGATTGGTCATCAGGTTTACTTCCTACTAGTTTTGTTTCAATATTAGTGATTATTGGTTCATTGATAGGTTTAGGTGGAGGACCAGAAATAGATAATTGATAACCATCTAACGTTATGGCATTTAATATATCGGCACCAATAAATTGATCGGTTTTTGCTTCGTCTGTAGATTCTTTCGATAGTTCTTGATACATGTAAATTAAGTTAGCGTCTTCTTTTACGAAATATATTGGTATATCAAAACTACGAGAATTTAAACTTTTTTCAAGTGTTAATAATTTGGATCGTTTTTCATCTCCAATCTTTGCAAATGAATCAGGAATTATGATCAGCATACCACCAACCATTGGATTTGTTATAAAATCTTCAAAATTTTCTGTTGAATTTATAATTTCATCAATCTTCAATAGAAGACACTTTTTTGCATAACTTCGTGATAGAGTTGCAGCAGTTCTCATTTCCAAATTCATTAATGAACTTCTTGATCCATAAGGATTACCAAGCCAATCATGATGATTCATTCGGTAAACAGTTACTTCTTGAGTTGCTAAAGCTACTTTTGGTCCATTTGAAATGAATATCAAAATTGGAATCAAGGTGAACATGGCACAAATGGCTTGTAATCTGGCAGAATTAGAAGAAGTTGATGAGCGAAAAAAATCGCCAAATAAATTATCACCCATTGATACTATTTTATTATAATATATTGAATGTTTATAAAAAGCTTTATCAAGATAACAGGATTGAGTTAGAGATGATCATCCATGTAAGAAAGATATAAAATGAAAGCCCAAAATGGATAAAAATGAAACTCGTAAGGATTTATCGAAGACGAAGAAAACTTTTACAGCTAAAAAGGAAACGGAAAAAATGTTATTCAATCAAACTAGATATTGATCAAGTTTAGTAATAATCATGGTTGAAGCCATACAACTAGTACTAAGCATGTTAAACTCACCTAAGCAAATTTAAGTTTCCATTCATCAACGAACTCTTTTCGAGCACAGAAAAAGTAATTTGAAATACGTTGCAAAAATTAAGTCAAAAATAACTAATATAATTGTTGAAACATATAAATATTTATATTAAATTAATAAAAAAGGTTTAGTAAATTTTAAATTTTAGATGCCACAGATCAATGTAGTGGAGTTGAAAAAGATGTAAACAAGAATAATCAGGCTTGAATTGGTTGAAGAGATAAGGAATATCCACTATTAAATTAACCAATAATAAATTGGCAATTTACTTAAACACAAGTAATTATCATTTACTCAATGAAATTTATCAAATTAAAAATATCGAGAGAAAATGATTGAAAATTAAGAAAAATAATGATAAATAAATATATAGCCATCTATTGCATTCCGGATAAACTAGAGATAACTAAAATGAAAGAGGCAACTTCAAGTAAAGTTATTCTCAATATTTAAACAATGATTAAATTAAAGCATAAAATTGAAAAATTTATAAAACTGATCACTCAGTTTCTTGATGAATTGAAAACAATTTATTTCGTTATTCAAATAGATCAACAGTTTAAATATATAATGATTCAGTTAAACTCATAATGAGTAACAAATAGCTCACATGAAGCAAAATAAATAGTCATTTTTACATTGCAGTTTATTCAACTGATTAAAGCAGAAAAGCCCAGCGTGCACTTTAATTGTGGAAATTTATTGCTATTAAGTAAGTTTAGATGAATATTTAAGACCTAAAAGGGCTGATCAAATATCTGGTATCAAGTAATAATTTCAATTATAATAGCTGGAACCAAATAGCCAAAATCAAGACTTTTTAAGATCATATATTCATACAATTGGCAAATTATGATTTCTTGTATTAAAGCCACCAATAAGAAAAATGAGGATAAAAGTTGATTAGCAAATGATAAATGGTGAAAATCGTAAAATGAAACTTAATGTTATATTCAACTGATAATACTTGATTCTACAGATAATGCTGGACAATCAAATTGTAATTTGTTATTTTACTATCCATTAAAACCATAAACATTTACTATTAAATGAGTTGGATAAGTTGAAATGCAAATTTACAATATAACTTGAAAAATCAACTAAACAATATAATCTAGATGTTTCAGAAATCAGCTTTCACACCATTAAATGTTGAATATTGATGAAGAAAAGGCGATCCAAGTATTCAATGATAATCTTAATGTATTAAATTAAACCTTGAAATCAATAATGACCATCCATTATAAGTAACAGGTATTATGATCGTTAACTGATCAACGGAAAAAACAAGGGAAATCTAAATGGCTCAGTTTTTGTGAACAAGTCTGGTAACAATCAGAAATCAGTCAATCAAGACAATTATTGCTGTCACCCAATTACCAACTAATTAACCATGCTAATTGAAAATTTTGAGTCTCTTAACATAGTAACAAGCGCAAGCAATACTTTACACTTAAAGAGGTTTACTGATCAACTCTTAACCTTCAAATTTATAATTCAACTTAATTTCAGGAATCTTACGTAATCAAATTCAGTAAGCAATCAAATGAACAAATCTATTATCAAAATTCATTGGTTTGTCAATTTTCAACATCAAAAGCATAACCTTTACAAAAACTGGAAAAAAATATTTAAAAAATGAAAATTGACTTAAAAAACATGAGCAAAACTATCGACAAAAATATCAATTACATGTCAATGTTTTGTCATTTTTTAGGTTCTCAGCTGAAACCTGATTGATAGTTTAATCGATAAGTTGAATATCGTGAATCTTACATTAATAGTAGAAATGATTAGCGAATTGTGAATCTAATCGCATGATAAAGCTGAACACTACAAGTGCTACAAGTATTGCTAATGAATAGGATTTTTCCCTTTTACTTCATCCTATTTATAATGGCAAGAATGACAAAAAAGTTGAATTTATCTTCATTACGAGATATTTTTCATGATATTCTATCATGTAAAATCATTGTAAAATAGGTTGCTTCCATCATCAATTAACAAATAAATTGCATTTAGTAATAAGTTAAATTTTATATTCCCTTCCGGTAACTAAAATAATCACAAGATTAACCACTATCTGTAATTAATTTGTCTAGTTACGCAGACAAGTTATTATTACTAACATTATCAAGAGTTGTATGAATTTTAAGATTTCTAGATTTATCTTATTATCAAGTGAGGTTTTTTTTTCTTGGGTAAAATCAAATGTGTAACTGTTGTACGTACTTGTCGATACACAATACAGATCAACAGTTTGATAGTACAATTTTTACCTGAAATGTTACTCTAATCTTGAAACTGATGAACAGATAGTAATTTTTTTACTCGTTACTTCCCATCCTCATTTAATTTCCTCCCTGATTAATTTGCCTTCCTTTAACCGATTTCCTCTTAATCGTTTAACGTAATCAGATGATTTGAGTTTGCAAACATAAAATTGTTCCATGACAATTTAGTGACAATTGTGTGAAATAAGTTGAGATCAACTATTTTTGGTGAGCACATAATGATCTGTTAATTAGTGAAAAAACTTGTAATTTGAACAATTTTATAATTTGTTTGCCCCTAACTAAGGGAAATAGGGGTAAAGGGTAAAGAAATATGGTAACAAAGTAGAGAGAAGAGAGAGGAAAATGATGTAGAAAGTCAGAATTACAGAGATAGACAGTGAAAATGGTGGCGAGTGCGAATAGATGAAAATCACTGGGCAATAAAGAAAGGAAAAAATATAAAAAGGGTTTAGACAAGATACTTAGGAAGAGAGAGAGAGAGAGAAAGGATAAAGGAAGATACAGAAGATAGAGATGATGGTAAGTTATCGCACAATCTTGTCAAAATTTCTGCCAAAGTGAGGTAAATAGAATAGTATACAAAAAACCTATGAGAGCAAAAAATTTGAAGTTTAGCCTAGATTGGACATGATGACAAGGTGCGTTAATCAAGCAAGAAAATAACAAATTGATAGAAATATAACAGACAAGCCAAATAATGAAAAATTGAGGAAAAAATGAGAGGCAAAAAAAGAGAGGTCAAGACTGTGCAATTTGAACGGGGAAGGAAAAAGATTTAGGATAAAGGACAGAGAGAAATTTTTATATATATATATAGAGTAAGATCGATGAAATTCACAACAAATTTTCGATATTTTTTTTCCATTACAAGATGTATTTTGTTTAAGATGAAGATTGTACTTTTTTGTTTCATCCACTTTATCCTTAGTAGATATTTGAAATATAATTATAAAATATAGCTATCATCTCAAAGGTCGCTGGCTATTCAACAGTTCCTTGCTTACTTCCTTTGTCTTTACTTTTGGATTTAGTTTTTTGTTGAACTTAAACTACTCCTTTTGCCATTTTCATCTTTACTTGAGTTGATGTTTCTTCCCGCAATTAATTGGCATTTAATCATCATCACTTTCTCCGGTATCCCCGTCAGTTACTACAAGATCAGTGTCAGCGATAAAACTACGGTGCAGATTGGGTCCATTAAGAGTTTCAGGGTTGACCAAGAGGAATTCGTTTTTGCTTGGTTCATAGCGACCACGATCCAATGTGTGGAAAGATTTTCTTCGAATAGCTAAACTATTGGCCGACAGGTTGTTGGACTCTAAATGGGCTCTCTGTTTAGGCTCTAAATTTTCATTGAATTGTAGCATAATCTATAAGAGAAATGAATAGGTAAAAAAAGAGAATATTATCAGAATGGGTGAAATGAGAGGCACGAAAAGATAAAGAATGAGACACAATACAAACAGACAGAAATCTAGTGAAGACAGAGAGACAGAGAAGAAAAAAAAAGACTGAAAGAATGGAAACTGAGAATCCTCAATCATAGTTGTAATACTGTGCAATTTTTATCAAATATCATTGAGAATCGCAATCCAGCTATACAACTTTACCTTATCATTTATTTTAAAAGAAATGAAGGTTCTTTTACCCTTCCATCAATTTAGATTTGTCATTATCACTATCGAAAATTAAATAGAGAATATGTGAAAGACAGACAAAGAACAAGGTGATAAAAGAAGAAAAAGCAGAATGAATGAATAAGAGCGTGAGCAAGGTGAGAATGAGAAAGGAAAGCAAAAAAGAGATGGAAGATGAAAGATGATATAATGAATATCATTTCAATATTTTTATTGATTGTTGGAGAATTACCATCTAATATATCACACAAAATGAAAGAAGAAAGAGTCAAAAAAGATAATCGAAAATTATACTAACTTGAAAATCAGGATTGAGACTTTTGCTTAATTTATCCAGGTCTTCTCTTTTAAGATTTAAAGTGAAATCTTCTTGAGATATTTCACTTGTATTTGAACCAGAAAGTGAGTTTTTCCTGGGGTCGATAGAAGATGAGTTGAATGATGAAGATGAGTTATAAATCGATGGTTTCCCTTTGGTTGCTTGTGGTGAAGAGGATTGATCTGAGATAGAGTTGAATGCAATTCCATTCACTTTAGGTATTGTAACACAGTTATAATTGGAAGTGAGATTTGATGATGGTGATATGCAAATTGTACCACAATTAATATGAGAGGAAGCACTTGATGATTTATTTTCATCGCGAGGTGTTGAGTTCTCCAAGTTGTTAAGCATCATTACGAAAAAATTTGTGGTTGAGCGTGACCGCGATCGAGAAGATGATGGAGACGGTGGTGATGAGGTTACCTTAAATTTTCCTGGAACTTTTCCATTATTGGTTGATGGAGTGCCTAAAGTGTTACTAGGATCTGTTGACAAAGGGATTGGTACAGGTTTAGAGATGTTAAGTGTTTTAGTTTTATTTGTTGCCAACGGTGTTTGTATTGAAGGTATTGAAGTATAGGTGACTGTTGATGATTCTAATTTCACGAAAAAAGTATTAAACCAAAAAGTAAATAATCTATCCCCTTTCACTTTGTTATGATTTGCACTGAAATCGACTTTTCCATTGTAAACTTCCACTTTAATGTCACCGTTCAATCTTGGTGGAGAATGAAATTCTCCATAAATACCAGAGTCTTGCCATCTTCTCCACTGTAAACATCCTTTGAAAACAATTTGTTTACCTTCCCAAATAACTATCGAAGGTGCTAAATTTGTTTTAAGAGAGAGTGGCATTGGATCCATTCGAATACACCGAAGGTAAAGTGGAGTTTTCTTATATTCATTGCCACTTTTGACTAGCCTTTCATAATAGTGAACGTACCTCCGTTGACTTGGTATTGTGACACCTCTTCTATTGTGGGTCCTTTTCTCGGCATATAAATTTAATGCTGAGTCTGCATCCATTTCTTTGTTTGTATGAATTATATATGCACAGACCATAACACCGGTTCTACCTTTACCTGCTTTACAATGAATTGCAGCAACATTTCTAGAGTCCAATTTTAACCATCTATTAACATCTTGGCAGAATTGTTTAATTAATTCAAAAGGAGGGGGATTGTGATCATCAATTGGAAAGACAGCCACTCTATTATGAAATTTCGAATGGTCGTAGCTCCTTTCAGAACAAAGATTGTAAATAAAATAGTGATCCTTATGTTTGGCTTCCATAAATTTTACAACATCTTCAATGTTGTTACGAAAAACACGCTCAAACCTTTCAGCTGGGAACCCCATAGCAATTAAGTTAGGTAGGATATCTAATAGGAAAAAACACAGTAAAGGGGTAGAACAGTATTAGAGACAAGTTTGAAAGCAAATACGAATCAACAAAAGACGATACTAAGACTGATGATGAGAGTAAAAGAGTAGCTAGGCCAAGCATGCATAGTTACTACAATGTACTCTTTCAATCTTTTGCTCGTGTGATAATTACATGAAAGATCCAAGTCAAATCCATTAGCCTGGTAACGCTTTTTCTTCTTGCTCACAATAGTTTTCAGCGTTGAAGTCATCATTGAAAAGGTGAAAATCATTCAAAGATCAAACTATTTAGAAAAACTTTTAAACATGGTAAATTAGATTTTGTTATTAATATCAACATAAAACAAATTAACTAAACACATTACATGAAGTCTGATTGAGAAACTAAATAACCGAGCTTAGCAAAAACTTGATGGTGACAACAGCTGAGTAAAGAGCGCCTTCTATTTCATTGCTGTGAAACTAACTAAATTTTGGGTTTTTTTTAAATTGTTAATTTTAAATTGTTTTAATCATAACATATTTATTTAAGGTCTTTATATTATTATTTAACCACTCGGTGAATCCATCCTTTTCATTATGAGTTTGATTTTATTGTTTTTATGCATAAAATTGAATTGAGTCAAGTATTATAACCATGTGTTTCTGTATGTCAAAATAAACGGTTTTATCACATCAGATCTTGTGATCTTTTCAGATGCTGAATTTTGTGAACATATCTTATCAAATTAAACAAACGAGTTAATTGAGTTAGTCAACTGGAACTGATTAAGGTGTTATCCTGATTTTATATTAACACCTCATTTAAGTCTTGGTTGGAATAGCTTATTCCCACAGATTCGTGTAAATAAAAGTTGTCATAGAAACATGTAATCAATTTATCAATCGTCAATTTATTAATCAAGTAAAGATTAAGAAAATATGCGTCATTATTTCTTTTGTAATTTAAGGATATTTCAGTTAATGACTGTTGTAAAGGTCATTCGTTTCTTTAAACCTACCCTGAAAGGTTAATGTACAATGTGTATTGTAAAAAATATACAATATCGAGATAGCGATTCCAAAAATAATCCAACTTATGAATCAAAATAACTTTTTTTCAATGTTCAATTATCTCTGGACTTGGATAAATTGTTTGCCATGTTAATTAGCCATCTTTTACTGAGAGTAGGAAAGTATTGATGAGCATAGCAATACCAAAGAAAGGGTTGAATTGTGATCCAAACTTCCTCCAGCCTTGTTTCAATAGCGCAAACCATAAGTTCAGCATGACGTTTTGGACTCATTCGGTTCGATGACACTGAACCATTTAATAAAATGCCATAAGTTCCAGTGTATGAAACAGCAGCGATACCAGTTTTAACAGGTCCAGAACAAACCATTGTTATAATTATACCCTTGGATGCAGCTTCATAGCGAAGACATTCATAGTAACCCTGGTCAGATGAAATAACAAAATTAAAGAGGGTGACTGATTAAATAAATTGAATAATCAACTCACATGAAGTGCATGTTTAGAAGCAGTATAAGAGGCACATTCGGGTAAAGCGGCTTTTCCAACGATGCTACTAGTAACAACAATATGGCCTTTTGAATTTGTATCATACCAATGTTTAAGAATCAACCGAGTCAAATTAACACCTCCAAATACGTTGTTGTCAAATAGATCCTGGTCAACACGAGACTCAATGAGTTCAAAACGAGACCTTTGGCTTGTTCCGGCATTGTTTACAAAGATGTCAACCTACAATTAAGATAAGAAGTTAATATAAATTAGAATTGCATCTACATAGCGAATGCTTTAAATCTTGTCATTTCAATCTTACTTTTCCGAATCGCTGTAATACAGATTCTAGCGCGATTTGGTGATCCTCTCTGTTCCTTATATCAAATGTAATTGTTATTATGTTACTATTGGAACAGCCTTAGTAACCAAATTGGACTAGATTAGTAAATAACCGTATGCGGTAAAAAAGATGAAATTTACCTTTAGATATACAATTTTGTTTGACTTTCTGGATACGCTCTTCATTTCGGCCTGAAAGGACTAGTTTAACATTGTAAGGGACAAGTTCATAGGCAAGAGCTTCACCGATACCACTCGAAGCACCTGTTATCCAAACAACCTTTCCTTTAATATAACAATCTCTTTCTTGTTTTAATTTTAACAAAATTCTATTGAGATATAAACTAAGATCACAATCAAAATAATTGACAAAATAAAACCAAGCTATTGTCACCATGAAAATTAAAAACAGAAACACAGCAATAGCAATTGATTGCCAATCAACCAAGTTGATTGTCAATAGAATCTTTTGAAGGGGTAACATCATTGCTAAACTCATATTCCTTGGCACAAAATAATCATACGATAGATGAAAATGTATGAATAGTCTTTATTGTTAACAGTACTAATGAATTAAATACGTATAATTATGAATAATCAGTAATTAAGAATAAACATTATTAAAACTAAAATAAGAGATAAATAAAAGAAAACAAACCACTGGTTCAGTTATCTATCAATAAACATTACATCAGTCACCACATGTTTACAAGACTACAATCAATGAAACATTGAATGTGTACCGAGATCGTGATTAAGGGATGAGTAAAAGGCACACAAAGCCTAACAACAATTTAACAATGGAATCTCACACAAAGATATTTAACTAGAGAGAGCACTTTTATTTATAATTAAAGGTTTGAATTAGTATCACAGAGTAAGTATTAATTATTGAATTCAATGAACTGAATATTAAATGAATCAATTTAAATTGAGGACAGAAGGAAAAGGAAGCAGAAGTCTTAAAGATTTCTGATTAAGGATACAACTTTAGAATAGAACACGGATGAGTCTTAATGACTAAAGAGCAGCTTAATGATGACTGACTTATTACAAGTGACAACTGACCCTGAGTAAGGAAAAGGAAACAGTTTATATACATTTGTTTGATTGTGATAAGAAAACTTGTTAGTAAAGATTTGACCAATGAGAAGTATGTGAATGATAAAATGATAATGATTGATGATTAAAAAATGATTAAGGGGGAAAGAATGAGATTACGTGTCAACCCCTTACAGAGCCCCCGGTCAAAACTGTCGCTAGGCTCTCTTTACGGGCTTAGAGACGTCGGTATTCACGGAATTGAATTCTTTCCCAACTGTGTAAATAATATTCCCTTGGCAATAGACTTTCAGGATTTCCTTCGATATAGTCTTCTTTAAAATACTTTTGCTTCTGCATCGCTTCTAATCTTTGTTCTAGATTTGTAAAAGGCTTAGTCTTAAAGGTTGCCGGCCAATCTCCAACAAGTTTCATTACTGCATGTAAACGACCAGCAAAATGAGCATTCTTTTGAAGATATTTAAAACATTTAAAACCATGACCTCGAGCTTCGAGTGTGGTCCTTGAATCACTTGTTTGTGATTAACTTCGATTCGAGCGAAGTCCCATAAATATGCATATAAAGTGAAGGCAGCATCAATTAAAGGTGAATGAAGATTTCCTTGAATTATTTTGTTGAATAAAATGTAAGTAATGTATTTTAATCCAATTCCTGGATCAGTCAATCGGCAATTATAATATGAGTTCATGCAAACTATTTTTGGTAATATTTGATAATAATCGTCCATAGACAGGAATAAGGCAGAAAAATCGACGGTTTGTCCGCAAACTATAATTCGATCATATTGTTGAAAGATTTTCATAACTTCTCGACGAACTGTTTTAAATCCTTTGCCAGTAGAAGTTTGAGGATAATCAAGACCATGAAATTGCTTATCTTGTTCCCAATTGTAAATTGCTCCAGCATTATGTCTGATTAATTCATGATAAACGACGTTACCAACTCCGTCAACAATTGCGATCCATACTGGAACATGATAAATGCTTTCATCTTTCATCTTAATTCGAATCATTTCAGCATCTAAAGCGCATACTTTGATATTTGCATCTTTTAATTCACAAACAGCTTGAGTGATTCTTCGAATGTAATTTGAAGGAGGAACCATTTCTTTCAATACTTCTTTATGCTTCTTATCCAGAAATCCATTTCTTTTTCTATCAACTCGAATTCTTCTTCTTGCATTATATCTTTGAGGGTCGTCATGTCGAACGTACCAATTGAATTGAGTTTTCCAACGATAAATGTCATTTGGATTCTTTGCTTTCTTCTTTGGAAATGCTTTTGGATCAAAGACCTTAGGTCTTTGAGATGATGGATTGATTGCTGGATTAATGAGTGGAAATGCTGATGAAGATGGTTGTGGTTCAGTTGGAGTGAGAGGTAGAATAGGTTGTTTTGCTGGAGTTTGAGCAATTGTTCGAGTTGCGGGAATTTGAGCGATTGATTGAGTTGCGGGAATTTGAGCAATTGGTTGAGTAATTTGTGATTCAGGTACTGATTTGGATGTTGGAGGTGAAGGAATTATTGCAGAAGGTGATGGTTGCGAATTTGGAGGTGTATATGGAGTGAAGATATCAAGGACTGATGCGGGTTTTTCTTTGATAGGAATTGGTAAACCTTGTTTTTGCAAAGCTTTCCTTTGTCTTCTTCTTCTTGCACTTGCAGCTTTACCATGATCTTTCTTGAATTCAGCTGTTAATTCGTAAGCTTTTGCTAAATCTGCTGCACGAGTTTCTGGAGTATCTGCCCAATCATCTAAATCATCATTTGCTTTTGCATTAAATTCAGCATTATTAACTTGCAAAACTTCAGGAACTTCGTTTCCAGGAACCCAACTGTCCCAAGCTTCTGCAAATGATAAACCTTCAGAGACCTTAGGTCTCTGACTTTTCGATTGAGTTTCAACATTTGATGATTGATTACTAACAGCATTCTCATTTGTAGTTCTTCTTTTACTTGACTCATCGTTAGTTGATGCAGGTGCTTGTCTTTTTGGACTTTGTGAGTTATTCCATAACTCATCGAACTCTGAAGAGTTCACATCACTAATCGTGCAACCAAAATTTTTCAACCATTGATCATTCATTTTTTGAAGTGAATCATGACGAGCGAATAGAGCTTCTTTGAGTGCAATTGTTGAGTAAACACTTTCTGGAAGAGGATCATGAGCTGACTTGAAAATTTCACCAATGTAAGTGGTTTCAAATTTGAATAACTTCGAACCCTTGTTGCATCTATCCAAATGTTGACAGACTTTCATGTAATCACCCAAATATTCACATTTAACTTGATTACATTTTACCTCTTTTTGAGAAACAGCTTCTCTTTGTTCTTTAGTTAAAGCAATTACCTTCGTTGGTGTTCTGCAATTTTGACAATTGAACTGTTTGTCCCAAATATCTTTGATTGTTGAACCTTTGATTGGTTTACCCATAATAATGTTTCTCAGTGTGACGAGAAAGAACAAACATTTGTTGCAGTAATAAAGCTCACATCCCGAACATTTACCTGGTAAAACTGGAAACTGACCACATAGTTGACACAACTCTTTGATTAAAACTTCATTTGGATTTGCCAATATCAGACCTGGTTCTGGTTGTGTATAACTGATAGCAGCTTTAGCAGTTCGTTCAGTGTATTCTGCTTTCTTGGAAACTTTCTGCTTGATGAAATCATAATAATGGTCTTTGGTATATTCTTTGATTGAATTAGATGAAGAGTTAGTTTGCTGTGAAGTTGCCATGATTGAAGAATCAAGTCTCAAAAAACTTAAAGTCTTTTGATCTGACTTGTTGCCTTTCTCTTTTATTCCTTAACAAATTCAAAAAACTCAAAGTCTTTTGATCTATTTGTTTCAATTTGCAGAAGACTTAAAGTCTTCTGATATAAATTGATTGAGGAAATCTTTTCTTTAACTTGAATTGAAACAGGAAATTCTTTTTGAAGATGAATAGAAGATGTTGATGCTGCGATGAAGTAGAATCGAATTTGGTCGAATTAACACGCAAAAGACTTAAAGTCTTTTGATTAATGAGTTGAATTTTTGATTGTTTCAACTTGTTGAGATCACTTTAAAGACTTAAAGTCTTTAATTAACACAATAAGAGTTAAAATAATTTTCGATGAGAAATATTCTTCTTGTTAAAAGAACGTGTTCTATGGATCACTGATGCAGAGTTAAACTTGATTTCACTTTTTAGCTAAAGATTTTGAATCTTTAAGGAAATTTAATAAAAGGGAACTTAATTGTTCAGTTTCAGAAGGCCTTAGGCTTTCTGCTTTAGAAACAATTGAATTAAATTGAATTGAATTAAATTGGAAAATTAAGAAAATTGGTAAAAATTGAAAAATGGAACTGATTTGTTCGTTCTAAAATGTGTGGGAAAAGTGAAAGGGGAAACGGAATCAATTAAAAAAGAATATTGTTGACCATAGGGTTTGAGCATGTGTCAATTAATTGAGACAATAGACAGTAAATTCTTTTTTGTCTTTCGCTCTAATTGTTCTTCAAAAGACCTAAGGTCTTTTGCTTATGATTAGATTAAAACTAATTATTAATTGTTTTAATATTGATTTTTGTGTTTAAAAATTGATAAGTTTTATTTACCTGAATGATTTACCCGAATTGTGATGATAATTGTGATCTACACTCTGAAAGAAATGATGATTAAAACGAAGTTTTCAAGTAGTGTTAATGAAATGGAATTTTATTGGAAATTCTAAATGGGATAAGATATCTAAAGACTTAAAGTCTTTAGAAAAGCTTGATTAAATGGTAATAATGATTACAATGTTAGTTTTGATTTTGAATTAAACAGAAATTGAATTGTTTGGTTAAGATTGGAATAAAACATAAGTGTTTGAAAATGAAACTGAATTGTTTAAACAGATGATGAATAGAGAACTGAATTTTTAAATAGAACATTTTTAGCTTGTTTTCAATGAAACAGCTTTTCTTGAAGATTTTGAATCTTCAGATTTTTTCTAACTTGAATTAAATTGAATTATTAGTTTTAAATAGGAAATTAGTTTAGTCTGAAGACTTAAAGTCTTCAGATCTTCCTTTCCAAATGAAATTGAATTGAAACGAATGAGTTTGTTAGTTTGAAATCTTTAACCAAAGGCTGAAGACTCTAAGTCTTCAGATCATTTTTCATCTAAATCTCTGGTTATCTTCTTCAACCATCCATCTTGTTTAGTATTCTCCTCTCGTTCAGGACTTTGAATAGATTGCATAGGTTCAGGATCAGGAGAATCGCTACAATTAGGACAATTGTCGATTTTATCAATCTCTTGGATTTCATCCTCATCTTCTTCAGCTAATTTTCTAGCGGTCGCTCTTGCAGCTATTTCATTCAGAATTTCTTCCTCGATACAGATAGGAATAGGTAAGGCTCTAACGCCATTTTCTTCCTCATCAGTGAGGTTACATCTTATGTAGGCTCCTAAAACTAGGAAAGCTAACAGAGCATCATCTATCACCTTTGGTCTAGCATCGTATCGGTGAGGAAGTGTAGGCATCTTCGACAAAACACCAGCAGCTACTTTTGTATCAGTTACTTCCATAGTTAATTTTAACATAGAGTCTCTGATTTGCATCGCTTGTCTACACTCGTTCAGGTAAGC